GAAGCTTCACTCGTTGGTGGTTCGTCTTCCCCCCCCCCCTCCCCGATATCTCTGTTTGGGCACAAAGCACGTGTCGGGGCTTGAGGCTGGGGGTGGGGGTGGGGGGGGTTTGTTGTTGGGGCCCCCTCATCCGGGTGGCTGCCACGGTCACACAATACACCTGCACCTCCCCACGTCATCCCCTTCCCACCACACTAAAACCCCAAAACCCTAAAACCCCACGTGAACAGGTGGGAGGTGTTCACGGGGAAGGCGCCGTACGCCGAACACGCAATGACCAATTTCCGGGTAGGTGGCTTTGTCTCCCTCCCCCCGGGGAGGGGGGGGCAGGGGAGCGCTCAGTGCCGCCCGACCACCGGGTTTCACTACACAGTGTGAAGCTCCGGGATCCCCCCCGGGTTCCCCCCCGGGTTCGTCTCCTCCTCCCCATATAAGTTTTTTCAACGTCGCCCCCCCCCCTCCCGCACCTCCTCGCAAACGGTCCTTCCACAGGACGTGCCGTACTGTGTCGTACGGGAGGGTCTGCGACCTACCTTCCCATCCTCGACGCCGCTGGCCTTCAAGTACGTCGTACCGTGTGTGTTTTGTACCTGCACACCTATCTTGATGTGTGGCTTGGGGAGTGATGGTTGCGTGTGCGTGTGGGTGTGGGTGTGCGTGTGTGTGCGTCTTTGTTACATATCAATCCGGCCTGATACGTTGACCAGGGGCACCTAACCGTATATACCCCAACGGGAACGACACCGCCGAAGCAGCATTCTCCTCCTTGTGGGAGGAGAGGGGCGTGAGGGGCCGCGTTGTGTGTGTATGTGTATGTATGTGTGTATGTGTGTATTGGGGATTGGGGTACGGAAGTAAAACGCGTCGCGTCCTGTGTGCCTTCGTGGCAACATGTCACTTCCGTCGCTGCCCCCCCTGGGGTACCTCACCTCCTCATCCCTCTCCTCCCCCGGCGGCATCTTTTAGTCGGGTTTTCCGTTCCTTCAGTTTCTTCCGTTTCTTCCTCACCCCTCTCTTTCCCTCCTCAACACCTCCCGCCCGACCCTCTCTTACTCCCGGGCCTCCTCTTACCTTTTTTCCCACTCCCCTCCAAGCGTTTCCACCCACTTCAACCACCCTTTCTTCCTTCTTCACCATTCCTTTCTTACTACACACACACACACACACAATCCCCCCGAACGTTCCCCCAACAACGAACCCCCCTGCCCCGCTGTTTACTTTTCTCCGAGACCTTAACCCCTTTGCCCCTTCTTCCACGGGAAAACATCGCCTGCAGGAGTTTGGCTCAGGCCTGTTGGTCCACGGACACGTCGCGGAGGCCCACCGCCGCCGCATTGGTGGCCTCGTTGCAGCGACTGATGGATGCAGCGGCCTGCGGGCCGTGAGACGACCCACGGGTCGGTTTCGGACTCCATGGACTCCATGGTTACATAAATGCATTGACGAATTTCAAGAGACTTGGTTTATTTACGCGCGAATGGGGTCCCCCGCGCGAGGCACGAGGACCTCTCGGCCCTGCAAAAGGGGAGGGCGGAGGAGCCCTGGGTGCTCACGTGTGTTGGTTATGTTCACGTGAGAATGTAAGTATGTATGAAAATGTTTGTGTGAAGTGGGAAGGGGGGAGGGGGGTGTGTGGTTTCGCACCGTTGACTGGTCGCGACGAGTCTCTGCTGGCCGTCCGTCCCCCAGATGTGCCTTCCCGGGTGTTTTCCCCCCGGGGGGGAGGGGGGGGAGGGGGGGGACGCCGCCACCCGCATCATCCCTCTCATCACACACATGAATGCCGTGACTTTTCTAAACCCTAAGTCAGTGACTTTTGGGGACCAGCACCTATCTCCACCTCCGCCACCACCTACACCACCACCACCACCTACACCACCACCAAGGTTCAGTAGTGTGTGTGTGGGGGGTGGGAGGGGGAGTAGATGGAGCTGACTGCTGACCGACCCTAGGGAGCTGCTGAAAGTGTTGCTGTTGCTTTTGAAGTTGTTTGCTGTTGATGTCGCAGTTGCCAGCAGTTCAGTTTTGTGTGGTGTGCGCTGTTCCCCCCCTGGCCGCTGTGCGAGCGAGGACGTGCGTGTGTTGCGTGTGTGTGTGTGTGTGTGTGTGTGTGTGTGTGTGTGTGTGTGTGTGTGTGTGTCTCATCCACATAATGCGCCCATCGTTGCTGCTTTCGGCGGCACTTATACCCCGTCTTTCCATTGTGTGGCGAGTTTATGACCGCTGTAAACATATCCGGGGCCCTTAACCGTTTTTTGGCCTTTCTGGGTGAGCAGCAGTGGTGTTGCGAATAACGGAGAGTGGACCACTGGCCTCAGAGAGCTCTGTGTGCGGGTAATGGCTAGTCGCGTTCTTGCTCTTCTTCGTGATCCGGCGTCGTTCTGCGTTCATTTTGGGCAGTGGTTAGGTAGGTAGTGAGGTGAGGTGAGCCACGTAGAGGCCAATGGGGGACGGGAGCATTGCCTGAGTGAGCTTTGGGTCGAGTTGATAAGGCCACCATTGCTATGTCGGGCGAGAGGGCGCTGGAATGGAAGAAGACATTAATGATCAAGGAATCCGTATCCATCTAATGGAAGGTATGATCGATACTGATAGAGAGAGATTGAGGGGTGGGTGTATGGTTGTTTGTTGAGGATCGCGCGTGTGTTTGTGTGTGTGAGTGTGTGTGTGGTTGAGGTCGTGTGGAGGTGGGAATTTTGAGTTTTGATAACCTGTTCACTCTACCCATCTTTTGCCAGCCGCGGTCTGTTTATCGGTCATGACAGTCAGTCAGTCAGTCAGTTTGTCTGTCTGTCTATTCGTCTGTCATGACAAATTTTGTTGTCTCATTTCTGTTTTACATTTATAATTATTATTATTACGGATGGGATTATGGGCCTTACGTCCGGCACTGGCCGGGCCGACATATCGTTGGTTTGTTGGTTGGTTTGTTGGTCGGTTGGTCTTCTGTCGAAGTGAATGGGAACCAGCACATCGCATGCATTTGGAAGCTTTGAAAACGCCCCTGAACACTTACTAGTTGATGAGCATGCCATCCTTCCCTGCGTTTCGACGGGAGGATAAACACATTTTTTGGTAGAAAAGTCACAAATCATCAAGTAGTACACTCATGTGCTGTATAAAGTACCATTAACGGTATAGATCATGTACTTCTCTTGGCAGGTTGTGTTGTGTCCCTTTGAAGGTCCCTTTGAATGTCCGTGTGGCGGATTAAGGCAAAGTAAAGCTGGTTTTGGGGGGGAATGGGAGGGCTGGGGGCCGCCGGGGGTGCACGCGTGTATGTATGTGTATGTGGGTACATGTATGTGTGCGTGTTTTGGGCTTGTAAGGGAAGTGCAGGCTCCCATGTGAGAGGGGTATTACCCTGTCTTAGACTGTCATGCATGCGGCCCTTCCGGTCCGCTGCTGCTGCTGCTGCATCCATGATGATGATATATCTTCTGGCCGGTCGTAGCTATATGCCGTACACATCCGCCACGGCCGCGACGGCCCCCCTGCTCCCCGCCCTCAATGCCTCTCTTTCTCTCGAGCGCCGGAAGCGCTTTTCTCTCACAAGTAATCTAAAAGCGCGTGCGTACATGTGTATGCGAAGGCTGCCCGTATGACTTAGAACTGGGGGGGCATCCTGCATGGCTATGAACGGCGTTTTGTCGGCGGTACAGCCCTGGCCCCTTTTGCCGTCTGTGAGCTCACACGGGTTTTCAGTTCCCTTGACATCTCCCGTGAGTATTCTTAGCCGATGTTACACCGTCCCCTTTAAATATTATGCATGATTATTGCAGAACAACAGCTGCTCGAGTGAGTTGCGGTGGGCTCCCATTATGCCGGGATATAACGAAGGACATACATACGTATCTGAAAGAAGTGAAGTGTTTGCCTCTGTGTTACGATCGTAAATGCAGCAAGAGGTCACAGGTCACGCGGCCGGTTGGGTTTTTGTTCTATATGCCGTACCGTGTTGTAAGACACAACCACAAAGTAATGGTATCGAAAGGTACCGATTAGACTACAAAATAACGGGTTGCAACATACCGTCGTTTGGTGGTTTCGTGTCGTACGGCGTGTCGTATGAGTTTTGCGGATTTTATGGATTTGTGGTGTATATAATCGCGGTGGCACTACTAAGGGTGCTCACACTGCCACCGTGTTCAGCTGTGATTTGTATGTAATAAATATATTATTATTATTATTGTTATTGTTATTATGACCCCCTCATGATGTGGGTGGATATGAACGATTGGGGGTTGGCGGTTCCCGCCACGGAGAGGGTACGTGGTGGGATGCTTATGGAAGGCGCGGATTGAAGTTACAGGAGTGTCGTACACGACTGCCGTACGTCCTACTGTACAGCCCTCCGCCCGCGCTTCATGAGCAAGCGCTTCACGTCGTCGTCTAAAAAGTTCCTAGTAGTACTGTGGACATGCGACCGCCACCCATTGGCGCAGAGGTGTGAGTTTGTATGTAAGTAGATGTGTGGGACAGGGGGGTGTATCTTCGCCCGTGGCAGCTACCCTGCGAAACCCTGCCTTCCCCGGTATTTCGGGGCACCCTCATCCAGTCACCCTAGTCAACTTCTCAGTGGATCGCTCAGGTTCAGCACCCACCACCGGCATCCAACGGAATCTGACGGATCGACGGCGGCTCAACTTCATGTCTGGTCAGCTCGCAGGTCTACTTCATCTCAGGCACTCTTTCCTATCACAATTGGAAGAATTTTCGACCCTAACAGGTCTCGATCCCGGAACCTCTTGGGGCATCGGTGTGTGCGTTACCAGTAGTAGCCTGACCTATTATGATATTATAAATGTATGTTTGTCTAAGTTATTATTGTGGTACTATGGGGCTGCTGCTCTGTGTGTGTGTGTGTGTGTGTGTGTGTGTATGTGCATGTGTAATTAAGTGTGCATCGGTGATGAAGCAAACCTTGTAATAATGTTATCACTTGGGGAAGTTGTCGCGGCGTATTTTATGTTGTACCGTTATCGAATGCGGCCAACCACAAAACCGCCCTGGTGGACCTTTTGATGGAAACACACGGCGGACGTTATCTATTTAAGTTTCATGTGTGCATATGCTGCTTTTGCTGTATAAGAGTGCATGACTGTGCCTATACACACTTGTATATAAGTGCCATGCTACCTAGGGGAGGTGGCGCTGTGGTCCAGTTAGGGCAAGATGGAGGACCTCCATTGGAGGTGACATCATGTGTTTACTGCTCATGGTTCATTTGGTAAATTACGCGGTCTACCTCCGAAACGATGACCTACAACATGACTTGCTCTCCCCTCTGCCTCCCCTCTGCCTCCATCATTTTATGTTACGAAGTGGGAAATGGATACGATATTAAGTTATATTAAGTTGAAGGCTTGCAATTGGCATACGAGTGGATATTGCTTTTATGGTTGTCAGAGGCCTTTATGGTGTGGTTGTTGTTGCAAATAATGTGCGTCATCATCACCAGCATTAGCGGTTCGATTTCCTTGCTTCCTAACTGTGTGTGTGTGTGTGTAACATGGTTGGGGGTGCGTGACCCCATACCTGTAAGACTACCCATACGAGCCGAAGGCCCAAGGGCAATACTACAACGCCTAAAAGCCATGGAGGAAAGGAAAACACCGCACATCAGCCCAGGCTAGCGTCCAAAGGGGGTAATTGAGTTTCGGTGAGCCCACATACGTTCCAACATCCTCGCAAGACGTGCGGGTTCCCATTGCATGGCCTCCAACATGCTCTGTTGATGATCGAATCCCTCTTCAGCACGAATATCATTATAAGCTGGGCATTCCAATAACACTTGTTTTTCATCCTCAATTCGGCTATTAGTATCACAACAGTGGCAAAACCGCTGCCCCCTGGGGACATGGTACTTGCCCCTTCGTGCTCTGTTTGCCTGCCTATAAAGCCCAGCAACATGAACGAAACTGCATTAGCTTACGATGTGCTAAACGAGGAATGAAAACCTTAGCATGTGTTGGCCGCATGACGGCTGCGGCTCCCGAAAAGGGCAGCCCCATCCAGTGCTTATACTTCGCCATTTGCACTCCCGGTTGCTTCCCATCTGATGGGTACTCCTCTGGCAAGACAGTCAGACGCGTATGGTCCCAGCCGCTTATCAAACGCTCTCTTAGTGCCGTTATCATCGCTCCTTCGGGTAGAGGTCTACTCAACAACCAGTCAACACGCTCCTTTACCCCCACGACTTCTTGCGGTATTCCGCTCCAAATGTTGCACTCCAAGAAGGAAAACAGTCTTCCTAACTGTAACACAGCAAAGGCGTAACCCGGGATGCTCAGATTGGCATTTGCGTCGTTACATTGCCCCCCACTTAGCAATGGACGTCCTCGGCCATTATTTCGAGCACAGGAGCCATCCCACCTCGCGCCAGTGCGCTGGTTTATCCATTACACCATGAAATCGCCAATTTGCGACTTGCTGGTTGCCAGAATCGAACCGCCGACCCGAAGTTTGTTACGGAAGTCGTGCAGTCCCGTCTCGATACCATTGTAACACAGCAAAGGCGTAACCCGGGATACTCAGATTGGCATTTGCGTCATTACACTAACTAACGAGCATCCATCCCAGGAAACACGAGCAGATGCGTAGAGGGGAGGGGCGCGAGCAGTTACCAGCCGCTACAGGCTCTCGGCAAATACGCAGAAAATTATTTCGGGGTCTAGAACTGACAATGTGATAAAGCGGCCCAGAAGCTTCCCACTCTGTAACATTACATTACATTTCGGGGTTTTAAGTTCAGAGCTGCTAGTTACACTTCGGCTTTAGGTGGCTGGCTGTAGTTCGCTGCATTTACCTTCAAAAGCATGCAGCAGCTATTACAGCTTAGTAAATACAGCTATAGCGGCCCTATGTAGGACATTACAAACCACTCTCGCTAACTGCTCTCGCACCGTCTTCGTGACAGCAGTAGTGGTGCCACACAACAGGCTCTCGAGAGGGGCCGCAACAACCCCCCTTCCAAGCGGCAGGCCGGCAGAGCGACCAGGGTGGCTGCTGCCCCTCACCCCCCCTTCCGAGCGCCCACGCACCGACCTGCGAGTTAGCACACTCGCGTCGGCTCCACCCACGCAAGGCTGCCGCCCTCGGCCACTCTTGGGGGTAGGGGGGGGTGCCGTCCCCGCGCCCAGCCCGTCTGGCGAGTTAACACCCGAGCCTGAGATATCAGCGAGGCTGCTGCCTCCCAGCCCTGTTTCAGGCTCCCCCGGTGGCGGGTTAACAGTCGCCCCCCTGGGCTACACCGCACACCGGTGGCTCCTACATGGCGCTCTTCCGGTCCCCAGTACTCTACCTGGGTTAGCACTTGCACCGACTTCACTGCGGAGCTGCCACTGCTGCGGCAGCCACAACCAACTTCTTGCCCTTAGCACACCTTCAGAAAGTGGTCCAACTCGCTGCACTGGTTTGCGTGCAAACACACACACGGGGGCAGGGGAGCGGAGCTAGCGGACCGGCGGCTCGGCCCCTCACGCCCCTCTCCCGTCCGCTTAGGGAGAGAGCTTAGGTGGTCTTTCCGTTGGGACCAGGCAGCAGTACCCGTGGCCAGTGGCAGGCCCGGCCAGATACTTGTAACCTCCACGCATTCACACACCCATACCCACCCACCCGCCCATGCACCCGCACACACACACACTGAGAAGTTGGCTAGGGTGACTGGATGAGGGTCCCCCGAAATACCGGTATAAAATACAGGCAGTTACTGTTAAAACCTATAAGCGATGATTATATGGGTCCGTTCCGGTCACCGTTGGACCGCCTCCCGGACCGCAATAACCAGCTTCCGGTCCGACCACAACCCTGATGAGCTTCCCAATCCATAGGGCCGCCACGTAATTCGGTGGCACACTTGGTTGGCTCGCAAGCGAAAGGGAAATGCGTTGGGATTTTTCCAAGAGGTAGTTAGTATAGAAGGTACGATTTAGGAAACGGTTACAGTATATCATTGCGTTGCATTATCGTTAACCGAAGCCGAAGTTGTTTTGGCGGTACTTCGACGTCTTATCTTATGTATCCTACGTATAGCGTTTCACGTATAGCGGACACGCCCAGAGCAGGCCGCAAATATGTACGTCGTGGAAATCCAAAAAGATTTGCGCTTACAGTTACTCATCACTGCCGTGCGTCCTGTTTTGATAAGTCACATGCCTTACCATCTTGGCAGGCAGATCCTATACTTAGATCATGCCTTGCGTGTCCACATAAAGCTATCGTCTAGTTGAATTAAGGTACATGGGCACAATGTATTTTCCGTCCGAGAGGATCATCATCTGGCATCGGAGGGATGGGAAAAAACAAGCTAAAACGCCGTCGGCGTCCCTGCTAACACCCGCGTCTTCGCTACGTTGCCACCCAATCTCATGCCAGAAATGCCGCTCCTATTAGCCGCTCACTCTTGTTCACAAGCAACAAAAAGCAGCCAGCCATAACAAAAATAGTTTCATAATAGGTCAAATCGCAAAAACATGTATCAAACAGCAGACCTCCCAAACGTCAACGGAATGAATCAATATGTGTTCGGTTTCACCAGAAACCAATCGCGCCAAGGCCTATGAGCGTAGCCGCCCAATCATCAGGCCAGGCCGTAATGCCTAGCTACTATTACAGCGTAATCACACCCGCTCCCGCCCCTTCTAAAATGCACATCTAATAGATAACAGTTCACCGGCCGCCTTAAAAGCAACGACTACTGTCACCGCCTCGCAGCGAGACAAACACCTCGGGCCGCCCTTCTCATTTCCACGTCCCCCGGTTACAGTGCCCGCGCGCCCCAACCTGCAGTCGAAAATAGCACCGGCAATTTCGGGTCATAGAAACCCACATCTCCACCCCACATCGTAAAACAAATCCTTGTCGCAGGACGGTCACTTACACACACCACCTCACCCATTTCGTTGAGGTGCACCTGCAAAAACCCGCTCAAGACATCACCTCGCTCCCCTCCCCGCCCTGCTGCACCCGCCACTGCGCTGCGATAACATCATCTAGGAGGTATGAATAAATCATTCCGACTAGACATCGAAGAATCGAATCCAGCTAACGCTGCAGTGCGCTGCTACTGCATCCACATCGCCTCGGCCAACATGGGCCCTATGGCTGCTGCAACCCCCCCCCCTCGCAGGTACCCGCACCCGGCTGATCTCGGCAGTGGCCCCCCCGGGGGGAGGGGAGGGGGGGAAAGGGGAGGAGGGCCGCGCGCTGTGCCCGTGACCCGGCGGCTCCAACCCCCCATTCCCCCCCAATCTCGCTAGGGGTCTTGAACTCTCATCTTACAGGCCTTGGGCCCGGTGAATAGATCAAATGGCTGCGGGGAAAGGTTGGGGGTTGTGGGGGAAAATGGGCGGGTGCGGGTCGGGTGGGAGATACATATGCACACAGATTGCGAAAGCAACAGCAGCAACAGCAGCAGCAGCAGCCAATGTGTATCTAAACATCATGTCAATAACAAATCGAACTTCCGACCATTACCACCATCCCCCCCCGTTTTGTCATCTGTCTTCAAAATTCCCCGCCTCCTCCCCGTCCTGCTCCACCCCCACCCCAACCACCACCCCCACCCCACCCAACCACCACCCCCACTATCTCCCCACAGCGGACCTGTCTTGCAGAGGAAGCCGTCCAGAGCGGTGCCACAGCCCGCGTCCAGCGGCAGTGCCGGCATCCAGCCGCACCGGCGGCTGGCGGTGCCGTCGGCCGCCACGTCACCAGTCAAAGTGCACAAAATGCTGTAACACGCGCCGTTGACCAGAATCGTACCGCCATCGGTCGTTGGCAGGTACGACACCGGCTGGCCATCCGTCCACAACGGATCCACGAGATCCAATTTCAACCCGATCCAAAGCTTCAAGGACGACCCGCTTCCAAGCGTCGAAATGAGGGAAGAAACTCGTAAGGCGTCTTGTACGGCAAGCCAGGCATCACCGCCTGGGAACGACGCCAAATTACCGCCACGCGCCGCACACGCGGCCTGCGCGTTGGTGAAATTTAGTCGCTCTGGTCGTACGTCGTACCGGAAGTTGCCGTACAGGAAGGACAGCACCTCGTCGAGCGCGGCTGTGAAAATGGAGTGTCGGGCAAAGCGAAATTAGTGAAATTACGACAGAGCTTTTTCCGACACACACACACACATACACACACATACACACACGGATGTCGTACGTATGCTGCATACATGCCCTCTCAAATGCAATCATTCCTTGGGGACGCATCTACATATTTCCGCCTCATGGCCATCAGTAGGTTGGCCCAGATCAGCGAACCCCCTCGGTCTGCTTTGTCGTACTGTCGTACTGCCGTATTAGGAAAAGTGGATTGCGTCCTAGTTCCCCCGGCAGGAGAGAAAGGCGTACGTCCTCACCAGGCACGTTCGGAGGCGAAGACAACGGCGGCGGCGGGCACCGAATGCCCCGGCAAGATCGTGTGACCGGCGGCGGCGAGGGCCGCGGCGAGGGCGGCGGCGGCGGTGGCGGCGGTGGGGACGGTGGCGGCGGGGATGGCGGCGGCGGCGGCTCCAGCGGCGGCGAGCATTTCCGCTTGCAAGCCGGAGGCGGCTGGGAAGGAAGTAAAGGGAGTTGCGGGAATGACGGTGGTGGCGGAGGGGTAGGAGGTGGCGGAGGTGAAAATCTTGCCGGTCGTACACGGACTGGCGGCGGTGGGCTTGGGGTCTCGGGGGGTGGCGGCGACGGCGACGGCGGAGGCGGTAGAGACGGCGGCGGGGGTGATGGAGGCGGAGGAGGAGGGGGAGACTTACGAGGAGGCGGAGAATTTGGTGGTGGTGGTGGCGACGGTGGCGACGGCCGTGGAGGTGGGCGGGGAACTGGCGGTGATGGTGAAGGCGGCGGCGGCGAAGGTGGCGTGGGCGAAGGCGGTGGCGGAGAGGGAGGTGGCGGCGACGGAGGCGGCGGTGCAGGTGGCAGAGGGGATGGCGGTGGCGGTGACGGAGGCGGTGGCGACGGCGGGGATCGGGGAGGTGGTGATAGAGGACGCGGAGAGCGAGGTGGCGGCGACGGAAGCGACGGTGGCGGTGGCGACGGTGGCGACGGTGGCGGTGGCGACGGTGGCGGTGGACGCGGCGACGGTGGCGGCGGCGACGGTGGCGGCGGCGACGGCGGCGGCGGCGACGGTGGTGGTGGCGACGGTGGCGGTGGCGACGGTGGCGGTGGACGCGGCGACGGTGGCGGCGGCGACGGTGGCGGTGGACGAGGAGGTGGCGGCGATGGAGGCTGTTGCGGCGGGGGCGAACGAGCTGCGGGGGGTGGGGACCGTACGACAGGAGGCGGCGGCCGTAGCGACGACGGGACAGGTGGCGGCGGTGACGGCGGTGACGGAAACTCCACAGGTTCCGGAGCGTCCGGCGGCAGCGTCGGCATCTCCGGTGGCGGCGGACCCGCACGAGCCGGTGGTGGCGGCGGAACATCCGTACGGCCCGTAACCGGAAATACAAACATGGGGCTGGGGAAAGGGTTTTTCCACGGGGCGGAAAGGGTGGTGGTGCGTTAACAGTGCAACACACCCAACTTATCCATACACTTGCACATCCCCATCCGTGCCTAAGCGTGCTCTGAAGCACCACCTAGGAATTGCGTCTTGCGCCATAAATGAGCCTGTCGTGCTGTGGTGTGTATGTGTGTGTTGGGGGGGGGGGGAATGAGGGGGACCATATGTAGCCCACCGTGCCGCGAACACCCCCCCCCTTTTTTCCCCGGCCCCCCACCCTCCCCCCTCCCCCCTCCCCCCTGGCATCCGTTGACAATAACCCACCAGCATTCGTAATTGTCCACCTTCTTGTCGTACACGCCCACCTCCAGCACCCCCTGGTCCCGAGTGTCCGGATTCGCCAGCGAAGACAAGGTGGGGCAGTTGCCCTTCATGCTGAAACACAGAGTCGTCGTGTTGATCTTGTCAAAGGGAATGTACATGTTGGTAATTTTGAACGTGGGCTTGTCAAGGTCGCCCTGCGGGAAAACAGTCCCACGGGTCGGCACGGGACGTACGGCATCAAAGGACAGTCCGCAGGTCCGAGGGATCCTTCCGTTATCGTAAGATAAACGGTGTGGATGTGGGTGTGGGTGTGGGGGGTTAATCCCCTCTCCCAACCCCCCTTTAGTGGCCCCGGACTCGTCTACACAAACAGTCACAAAACACACACACGCGCACATGCGTTCTCCGGGGCTTCCTCCCCCTTGCACCTCCCCTTCCCCCCCCCAGGGTGTAAGGAGCATCCGCCCTTGTTTCTTTGGACTTCTTGTAACTAAGAAAACATGACTTCACCCCCTTTGGCTAAAAAACCTTTCACCTGGCTTTGCTCTTGCTGTACAAACCCCCCTGTTCCTCCCAGCTCTCGTTTTTCCTCTCCGCCTCACGCCCTATCCCCTCCCCACGCGCTCCCTCCGTTATTCCGTTGGTTTTTAACTGGACACAACAAAAACCCCAACCACCTCCCCTTTTTCCTTCTGCCATCGGCGGCTCATGGCCTCATGGCCGCCAGCACCAGGCAATCCCCTACCCCGTACAAGTAGCCCCCCCCCGGGCCCGAGGTCGCGGTCTTCACGGACGCCTTTCGGTCAGTTCTACGTGTGGTACACTCTTGCCCTGGCAGCAGCTTCACTCGTTTGTGGTTCGTCCTTCCCCCCGGGCCCCCTCCTCCGCACCCCCCCTCACATGTAGATACTCCTTGAAGGCCGCCGTCGTCACCATGTTATTCACGGTGATGTTGAAGATGTCGCTCCGCTGGCACAAGGGGTCTGTGTGTGCGAGGGGAGGGGAGGGGGCGGAAGAAAGGGCCAGGGAAGGTGACATCATAACCGACACGTCACCTTGGACGACAATCCCTCTGGGAAACCAAGCCAACGCTCCCATTTCCCAACACGGAACATCCTTACGTCCTACATCCTCTTCTGTTTTCAACGCCCGTCCCGATGCCGTACAACGTACAATCCTCCGTACGCCGGGCTCGAGTCCCGTCCAGATTTCCTCCGGGTGGGGCCCCCTCAATAAAAACACTCGGTTCCCGTCTCCCCCGCCTGCCACCAAACCCAATAACCCGCGTCCATGCCCCGTGTGACGGCCGAGATAACCCCGGCAAATACACACACGCACCCGCGCCGCCCCTGGCCTACCCGCAAGCCCACGCGCAGCCTACATACGGCACACCACCATCTTACCAATGTACATTTTAAACTTGTTGATGTGGTTCTCCCCGCAGCACCGCAGTCCGTTGGGGGTGCACTGGCTGACAGGTTTGTAGCCGAAGCGAAAGCACGCGCGGCTGAAGCGCGTGGGATCCTCCACGTACGAGGTAAGGGTAACCGTCCACCGGTTGATTGATGCGCCCATTTTGCATCCCTCCCACGGAAATTTAGAACCCGTCAGGTAGCTGGCATGACCTGGAGGGGGAGGGATGTGGAGGAGTTAAGACCACATAAAGTGCCAGGAGGGAAGGAAGGGAGGAAGGGTACGGAAAGCGGCGGAAGGGTGCGGTTGAGCCTTGAAGAGGTTCGGAGCCCAGCGGCCGGGTAGGTGCACGTTCAGATGTACAGACAAACGTACGCGGGTAGATTCTATCATTGAGGTGGAGGGAAGGGTACGGGTTTTTTGTGCCAGTGGGTGTGACTGCTCTCCAGATGGGGTTGGATGAGACGGGGAGTGGTGGAGGTTCGTTAGAGGGGTGCGTTGTGACCTGATAGCTGGTAGCATGTGGGAGAAGTCCCTCCCTAGGGCAATTTGAGAAATAAGATTATCATCTGATACGCATGATTGATACAAGGCAACGGCGACTTCCATTACGCCGGTATTCATGGCCGGGTCCGGCTGTTGTGTGTAGCAGATAGTTACGGCGTTACGCGACCTCGGTGTGCGACAGCCAAGACGAGGCTAGGCACCGTTCTGAACCAGAAAAGTGTCAAAGAAACGACAGCTTGTCATTAACTGATGACCATGCTCTATTGGCTGAATTGCGCGCGGTAACGACCAGGGTTGCGGACGCCCCGAAACCAACACCGCCGCCGCAAAAACGTTACAGCAGCATGGGAGGGGCCCCGCGACAGCTTGGCACAGGTTACGGTGACGAGATCTAACCAGCGACGTTCAACGTAAGGTGCTGTGAGGCTTATGACTCGTTCGCCATAGATGCCGACATGCGCTTAGATTTTTTAGCTGCACGATTATGCAGCTGCTAGCCACCATGACAACATCCTAATACAGGCCCTTACTTCTAGGGTGAGCGTTAGCCGCGGTAGGAAAGCTTACTTGTTTGCATTAAAAAGGTGAGGCCCAGAGCGGCGAGCCACAGCCATTCCCGCATGGGTTGTCCCATGCTATGTGGTTGTAGTCTACAAAGAAACAAGGTAAGCGACGTTCTTCAGCATAATTCACATCCACTTGCTGTCCATCGGGCGGTTAACTTAAACCGCCACGCCGCCTCTTAGCTTCATAAATAATCTGTCTCCAAGCCTAACGAAAAACGAAGGAAACTCCCACCTTGGCTACGTTTTCAGCGTGTTTTGGTCCGTGCGGCAACAGTCTCAGCAACGCCAAAGCTGACGGCTGAAGACAGTCCCTATGGTGTTGTAATATATTTGGAATTCCAAGAGATATTTTCCTGGGGTCAACGTTGAAGGTGGGCGTCACGGACTAGTTACACACTGAAAACGAGCCCATACGCTTTGCCCAAATATAGTTGATTGGGCAGATGGATAACAGGAAGCACGAATGTACAATACATCCGTGATCCGGCCTCAAATACAACCTTGGAAAATTCAGTATTACGGAGGTTGCCGTAGCGAGCCTTGGTGGGCGGTTGAGCACGACCGTAGCGGAACAGTCATGTTATACTCTGGTTTATAGTAAATACGAATGGGAAACCAGTTAAAACTCAGGTAAGTGTAGAAGCGCGTCCCCACTTCGCGGTGAGTTAACTATCTTCCTCGTCACTCTCTGAGACTTCATGGTAAACCACCTACATGCAAAAAGTAAGACATTTCAGAAGGCCTTCCTGAAAAGCACGGTAAGCTTGATCCTCACCTTGCGGTTTGTGTTCTGCTGTAAAGGCTGCCCTCCATACTCGTCGTCGTCATCTGGTCCAGGCTGCTTCCCATCAGCCCCTTCGTCGTCGCTTCCCGAAGGCGGCATCACTGGCGAGGAAAAACCAAGACGGCCGGAGCACACTCAGTTTGGTTACTAAACTCAACTGCCGATACCGGCAGTCATGCATGCCACCCTCCTGCATGTTTCCTCTGTCAAGGACTTACGGTCGTCGAGCGAGCCTTTGTCCTCTTTCGACGCGAACTCCTTGGGCCTGCAGTAAGGGTATCATGGACTCATCGTTGGGTTTCTCTTCCAACGACTGTGCATCGCAAAAAGGGCTAAATCGCGCGAAGGACTCACGCGGCCTCTTCTTTCCCCCCTCTCTCTGGCGCCTCACCAAATGCCGGGCATCTTGGCCAGCTGCTTAATTTGATCGTCGTAGAGCACGGACAGTATAGTGCCCGTCACTTTGCTGTCCCCACCCGCCGCAGGGCTATCCTCCACGAGCAGATATCCACCCCGCTTTACCCATAGCTTCTTGTTAAACTTTGCGGGCATGAGCACCAACGTCTGGCGCCCATCCGGGAACTCCACCTGGCACGCAGCCAGCCCGACGACGGGGGATAAGTGCTTCCCGAAAACAGTGGCCTTGCCCTTCCTTGGAAGGTAGCCATCTCAAACCCAAATGACCTGTACCTTACCGCTATGAGGTTGCTGCCTCGTGATCCAAGCGCTCTCACTATGGACTGCCCTGGCCCAGGCGGCTGCACCTCTTCATCGAGCCCTAACGTGACATGCTTGCGACTTCGAGACATAAAGGCAGCTAGAATTGTATCAGGTACAGGTGATGGCCAAGCAGCTAGACAACAGCTTTCAGACTATGAGAACGCAAAACCCAAATCCTAAATCCGCAAGGACTGACTTTTGCAAGCAGAACATATTACATAACTTTCTATATTGTTCCTTGTGAAAACAGTTGATAGGTACAGTCACATTTTGGCCTAATGCTATTTGGCACGGCCGCCGGCACCGACACTGCGACGTAAACTAATTTCAGGGCAACAGCCACGAAGGGTTATCCATTATGGACGCACCTAAAGCACATTGAACAATTATAACACTTTCCGACAGCACAACACTGTACCACTTGACAAATGAATGTGCGGACGAGTTGTCCAGCGCTGCGCCACGCAGCAAGGCGTCGCCTGGCGCTACTTGCACCTAGCCATGCGATAATTCGTCGCTCCTGGAAATCTGCGAAAGTCCCAGAAAAGCTTCCCGGGGTATCCCAGGCATGTCCTGGCCGCGCGGGTTGGTGTCTGAGGCAGCCGCTTAGGAACCACGCACAGGTCCCCCGTTACCAGCTCGCGCGGCCTGCGCATGTCCACGATAACGATGAGGTTTCTGGAAGCTCATCGTCATCGCCAGATCAGGAGCTTTGGTCGGCCGGTGCGTGTTCGATTTAAGGGAGGGATGGAGGAAGAGGGGTTCCCCTAGCTGGCCGCTCAACTACTCCGGTATCAGCAGTACATCCCAACCGAAACGCGTCTGACTTCAGTTGCGAATTCCACTCTGGCCGTCTCATAGCGTTAGTAACTATTGATGTATCAGCGCGAGGGGTCAAGTCCTCAACAGCGGCCCAACACGCACTCAAGAGCCCCCCTCATCATCATCATCATCATCATCATCATCATCGCGCTCCAGGGGGGGGAGATGGAGGGCAACTCCGCCATCTGGGTGTGCTCAGCGGGGCCAAAACCTCCCCGCGCTTTTTCCCCCGGGGTCGTGTTTCGGCGCCCGGACCCTACACAAACACACATTCACACCGTAATATGGATGGTAGGGTCTGTACAGGGTTTCGGGGTTTCCTCCGTCTTACATGTGAACCCTCATCCCGAGAGCCGGATCAGGACGGGGCAGGAGAGGAGACTTGCTTCAAAAGGCTGAGAGCGCGAACTCGCGGGACGGAGCCTTGAGTCGTTGTGCGAGCGAGCGTGCGCGTGTGCGACGCCTCCTAAGGCTCTCGGCTATGCTTAGGAGGGGGCAGAGGAGGAACCTCTCGCGCCCCTCTCCCGTCCGCTTAGGGAGAGAGCTTAGGCGATCTTTCCGTTGGGACCAGGCAGCAGCCCCTGTGGCCAATGTGTTAAGCCCGGCCAGATACTTGTAACCTCCACGCATTCACATACACACATACATACACACACATACACACAGCTCCCAGCCCTCTATCCCCGGGTAGCATTCCGGCAATAGCACCTCGCCAGGAGGGGACGCAGCTCCCAACTCCCCACTCGTGTTGAAACGCCATCACCGCACCATCACGTGCGGAGATCCTCCCGTGCGCTACCTCACCTCACCTCACCTCGTCGGGCTGATCTGAACTGAACTGAACTGACCTCATACACACGGAACTTACTTGCTTTTTCCGTCCTGCCGCCCCTGCTGCTGCTGCCCCTGCTACTGCTGCTGCCTCTGCTGCTGCTGCCCCTGCTGCTGCTGCCCCTGCTGCTGCTGCAGGGGATTTATATCGGGAGGGCGCGGAACGGCTGCGCACCTTCATGGCCGTGTTGCCTGAGCTCGCGGACCAGGAGGCGGTCCTCGGGGCGCTGCTCAGCTCCAACCCCGAACTGGTCATGGCGGATCCACAGGAGGTACGGCACCGCCGTACTAAAGCAGCCGTACACTAACTTTTACTGACAAACTCTTGACGTTGCTTTCCGCATCTGTTCGTGTCTGTCTGTGTGTATATCTGTGTGTGTATATCCCACTAGACGCATACTACGACTGCTGTTTCTGAAACATGCACTGAAGCATATCATACGTCATGATTGCGATGTGTGTGTCTTTTCGCCGCGTGACGGCTTGTTTTTACGCTGCGTGATGCGATTTGGGTTCGGTTGGTTACTTTGGGGGCCCTTATTTGACCGTACGACGTAGGTACGGCAGCAGCTTGAGGGGCTGGCGGCGGCGTTGGACGTGTCATTACCGCGTGTTGCCCGCCTGGCGTCCCGTGTGCCGGCGGTGTGGGAGCGGCCCCCGGAGGAGGCGGCCGGCAGGGTGCGCGATATGGCTTCGGAGCTCGGAGTGGGCCTGGACGCGGCGCTGGATCTGTACTGCAGCCAGCCCGGGATGTGGGCGGTCAACCACCCTAGCATCATCAAGGACAGGTGGGTATGTACGACACGAGCTGAGCTGCGGGTGGTTACAGTCGCGACGGGGGGGGGATAAGCGACCCGGGGGTTTATGTCACACGATCATCCTTACTGTTGCAAGTGGCGGGTGGAGTGTGGACCAGAGGTTTCCAGGGGTTGTGTGTATGTATGTGTGTATGTGTGAAGGCCTTGTATGTGCGTATGTATGTGTTTCACATGATAACTTTACGAACCGTGTATGGCCTCATGCCGGCAAAGCTTCGTTTCACCAAACATCAGCCCTCCCCCTCCTCCTACCCCTCCAAGTCTCCCCCCCGGGTTTTCCTGGCCCCCAGGCTGGACGTCCTGGCCACCAAGCTGGGGGTACCCCTGGTCGACCTGGTGGGCCTGGTCGGCCGTCAGGCGCTGCTGTGGGCGGTGCCACCACCCCACGTAGCCGTTACCGTGGGGGACGTCGCCGCGGGCTTGGGGCTGACGGCGGCAGAGGCGACGGAGCTGGTGGCGCGGGTGCCGCCGGTGGTGGCGGTGGAGAAGCGGCTGATGCGTCTGGGCGTGCAAGGTGCAACAGGGGCGGGTATAGCGTGGGTTAGTTGGGTTAGTTGGGTTAGTTAGTTAGTTAGCTGGTACATTGAGATCAGTTTTGGTCAGGCTCGGGAAACTGCCAAGAAGCCAAAGGGCCGTGATCACCCGTGTCACATGACGCGCAAACATCATGTCATCATCAAGTGCATGCGCTGGGGTGGGTTTTACTATTTGTCGTACGAACACGAACCGGTCTCGCGCCACCACGTCTGGCTATTGACGTACGACATCAGTCATCACCGCAACTGGCCACCGCCACCACCACCGTCTACTATCCACGTGACATACATACACACACTTCTTCGGCGTCTGCCGTACACCATACATATCTTACACCGTACAGACATGCATATATGTATGCACATGTGAGTACTTATTGCCTGACCGGACTGCTCCGACCGCATCTCACCTGCCGTCAGGTGTATCTGCCACCACGGGTGTGTCGGTGGCCTCACTGCTCGAACTGCTGCCTCGCAGCCTGGGCTTGGTTTCGGTGCCCACTGAGTTGCTGGCTTCCTCCCTGGAGAAGTTGGCGGCGGACCTGGGCTGCAGGCCCGAGGACATTGTGATGCTGATGACCAAACAGCCCACGTTGCTGTGCGCGCAGGTATGTATGTATGTATGTCGTTACAGGGTGGTATAGCTTCACCAGCGGCCCCCTTTCCATTGGAGGCAGTTCCCTGCTCTCCCCTGCGAGAGGGGCACCCTAATCCGTTTACCCCATCCGACTTCGGAATGTATTCGTTGGGTTCGGCAACTCACCACCAGCATCCAACCAAATCTAGCGGATCAACGGCGCATCAACTTAGTTCCTGGTCAGCTCGCAAGTTGATATTATCACGTCCTACACCGTCCATAAGATGGGGGGCCACCTCCCAATTTAACACCCCTCCCACACCGAGGGGTCGCCAGGCGGATTTGAACCCGGACACTCCGGGAGCAGAAGTCAGGCCTTAACCTCTGCCAGCCACCTGCCTGTATGTATGTATGTATGTGTGTGCATCTATGTAATGTCCTCTCCTTATGCGGACAGTCCGTATGTCTGTCTGTTGATTGCTCAGACGCGCTCACTGTGTATGGCACATTTCCCCCCTCTCCCCGCACCTCGTCGCGTGCCAAACCCACTCACCGACCCCTGCTCTCCCCGCCATCCCCGCCCATGCATCTACCGTACACGGCAGTACGGCACCATCCAAGCGGCGCTGGAGGTTTTGGAGCTGGGTCTCGGCGTGGATCGTTCCGCCGCGCTGGCGGTGCTGGCGGCGCAGCCGCTGCTCATGTACGACACCACCGCCGACACTCTTGCGTCCCGTCTGGCGGCTCTGGGCGACACCTTTAAATTGGGGCCTGACAGCGCGCGGCAGCTGGCGGCGGCGCAGCCCGCGCTGCTCGTGGTATCCCCCGCGACGTTGCGCTCCGCAGTGAGCCTGTTGGCGGCCTCCACCGGCAGCTCGTTGGCGGAGTGTTTGGAGCTGGCTAAGAGCGATCCCGGGTCGCTCATACTGGTGACCCTGCAGGTGGGTCGGGCGGGTAGGGGGCATGAAGCTCGCGCCACGGTAATGACACGCACGACTCCCACCACGCATGGCCCCCAACCCCCCTCTCCGGGCGTTTACCCCACATCATATCTCCCGTACACTTGTGTGTGTACGAAACTCGTAATTTGACCTGACCCCGCCCCACCTGACCCCGCCCCGCCCCGCCCCGCCCCACGCGGCCTCAGGACTCCCTTTTGGAGGCATGGTCCGCGAGGTTGGGTCTGCCCGCGGAGGCGGTTTCGGCGATGTTGGCGGCTCAGCCGGCGCTGCTTGAGCTGACGCCGACCACCGTCAAGGCGCGGCTGGAGTCCCTGGCGGCGCTGTTCGCGGTTCCGTTGGGCATCGCGGCGCAGCTGGCGCTCAAACACGCGGCGCTGGCGGCGGTGCCGCCCAACGCCACCATCACCCGCGCCAAGAACATCTCCACGGCCCTCAAGATCTCCATGCAGGCAGGTGGCGGTCCGGTCTGGTCCGGTCCGGTCTGAGGCGATTTCCAAGGGGGATGGAATAGAGAGGGGGAAAGAAATGATGTGGGTTGATTACCTCCCTCGCTCTCTCTGTCTCCCCTCTCTCTCTCACACACGCGCGAACGCACATACATGGTGACGTCCGTGGTGCGGGTGACGTTTGTGGTGCAGGTGACGTCCGTGATGCAGGTGACGTCCGTGGTGCGGGTGACGTCCGTGGTGCAGATTAGATCCGTGATGCGGGTGACGTCCGTG